CTCAAAAACACCTCCACTGACTTGTGGCAGAGGTCAACCCTGCGTTGCGCAGTTCTCAACGGCCACGTTGCGCAGTTTCGCCCGATTAGACACGTTCTCTCGCGCGAACATTCACACTCGCATGCTCGAGCCGTCTGCGTCTCCGCCCATACAGCGTGCGTTGAGGATCTCTCAACGTGCCGTTGCGAACTGCGCAACGCAGGGTTGACTCTGGTGTGGCGCATCCTCCACCTCTATATGTAATGCGCTGAGTCTGTTGGCGGTGGCTGACATGTTCACTCTCGCTTTGGAGAGCGCCGAGAAAAGAATGGAGATATGTGGGACGGCGGAGCACGCACTTCAGCGTCGGTTGCAATGGTCGGACATTGATACGTGGACTGCCAGGCGGAACCATTTATACAGCTCGCTTACTTCGGGTGGCGTCGCATCGTGTCTGAAAGTGGTTAAGTGCTGCCCGGTATGAGGGAATTCGATGTGCTGATTACGAATATGATGATTTTTTTAGCATGTTCGGTCGCGCTCTCCCTCACGCACATTCACTCTCGCTGCGCGCGACCCGTCTCGCGCATACATTCACTCTCACACTGTTCTCACGTCTAGGATTTTCCCGACCGCTATTCACCCTCACATGAAAGTATGTTGTTCTAGATGTCCACGGATTTGCGATGAGACGTTATCACCTTAAAGGAATCTTCCACGGAAAAAGCTCCGCCTCCATTACCACAGAAAAACGATACCTTAGGCCCCTAGCCTCATGAGCATAGCAAAAAGAACGGAACATAAGCGTTAGTTTCGATAATACTAATCCTACACACAAGACAAAATGATCACTCTTTCCGTGGAAGATTCCTTTAAGGTATAACGTCTCATCGCAAATCCGTGGACATCTAGAACAACATACTTTCATGTGAGGGTGAATAGCGGTCGGGAAAATCCTAGACGTGAGAACAGTGTGAGAGTGAATGTATGCGCGAGACGGGTCGCGCGCAGCGAGAGTGAATGTGCGTGAGGGAGAGCGCGACTGAACATGCAAAAATCATCGACCAGTCGTCGACCGATCCTCGATAGATTTGCACCCTGGTTATGATTATGAAGTGTTGTAGCTACCTTCTGTATAATAAGAAAAGTGTTAAAATTTGGAATGAGACTATAATTTTGCAATGGCCTTTTTTTCATTTTTTGATCCTTAGATTTCTGGAATTTGATAAAACTGCTTGAGATTCTCTTTGTAGGTTTCTTTCATACGCTGAATCGAATGGCATTAGCCATTTTTGTGCTGAGTTCCTTGCAACTTCAGAAACTCAAAAGCATGGGGTATGTCGTATAATTTTACAACGTAGTATACACAAATGTGTACAAAAAACCAGTGTGCTTATGTGCGTGTGTGTTTGCAGGGGGAGGTGGACGCTCCCCGCAACACATCGAGATACTTCGGCCTGGAAATAGAAATGCTGTTTATTATGTTTGCACCTTTACAATTAGCTACATTTTTGTGGCGCTCCACTTTTCGCCACATCGTAGCTGGGAATAGCGCCTAGGAATATCTCAAGAAAATAACTAATGAAAGAAATAATCAGTATGTATTTAATCTTTCTAGCCGACTTTGATCATCCAGTCTAGCCCTCTTATCTCTTTCAAGTTTTATTCGACTCTGCCAGGCAACTAAAAGGAGTTTGGGCTCAAATAGCAGAATTTTCTAGTGGTAAAATACCACAATCCACAACTCCCTCGACACCATACAAAGGTACTCGATAGGATTCCCGTCGCGCCGCAGGAAGGCAGGGACGCAGATATCAACGGACGAGTCGCAGCGCGTGGTGTGCGATGTGTGATAGTTCTTAAGCCTTTTCCCTCATATCTGTTCCTCTCGATACAGTTCTCGTGAAAATCACGGAATTAAAATTATACTGCAAAAAGGCCGTAGCGTAATGAGGGATAATCTTCTGGGACCTCGGGTCTTCGCATTGCTTCGATTATGGCGGATGGCATCGAAAGCGGAAGAGGTTCGCAGTATATTTGGAATTGCCGAAGTCACCCGCCAGAACGCTCTTATTCCTTTGGACGAGTGCCAATTGAAGGAATCCTTCCGGAAAAAAATCGTGGTTAATTTCAGACGTAAATCACTGGCTTGAGACGCACCATCCACGATAAGAACGAAAAGAACAGAAAAATGCGTTTGTTCCGGTAATAATTCGAAAAACCGGAAGATGTCCACGCCTGTTCAAATTCCCGCGAATCTGTTCCACAAATGTTGGGCGCACGGTGCATCATTTCCACACGGCTGTTCAGATGTTGACACTTGAAACCTGTTTGCCTTGACCACATTCGCGTGTAGATCATCGCTTCTATGAATCCTTTTTATCGATCGATTTGCTTCTATCTCCAAATTAGCAGTTTGACCCATTACTGTCTTGCATCGCCTGATACGTAGCAGGAGATACGAGCCAAGGCGGACTTCTTCCCATGCTCCGCCTTTAGCGCCGCCCGACTACCCTTCGAGTGTCGTTTGTACGTATTGTTTCTCTTCGGAAACTGAATCTTCGTGCGTGAAACTTTGTGTGCTGTCTCTAGTGACCACAGCTGACATAGTCATGTTGGAAACAAGGCAAGAATTTTCCGAGAAAAATCCTTTGAACGATCTTAAGTGGTAGGAGTAGCCAGCAGGGTTGTGAGTAGAACTGGATCCCAATTTCGAACACAACCCATTCTTGGAGCGGCAGCGCTACTTGTCACTACTTTCCTTTTCGTGCATCTAAGATCACCCATTTTCAATTTGAGTGAATGGAATTTTAACCTTTCTCCTGACGAAAGCATAGCACCGACGCGGTCGTTTTCCACGACAATGGCGACCACAACATCCCAATCTCTGCATGAGCTATGCTAACTCGAAGCTTGGGTTCGCTCATGCGACAACAAAGCTCCCCGTTACTTGTGTTTTATTCTCAAGACCGCACCTAGTGTCACATTTCTCACAATGAAACAGGTGAATGTCAAAGTTTTTACAAACGGAAATGTTTGAAACTAGTAAACAGCTGACGAACTAATAACCAGCATAATGGGATTTCCACTGCCAAAGTGCAGCTCGAAACAAAAACTCAAAAAATGTTTTGGGTTCGCTTTTTGTGCATCAAACGGCCTGCTAGTTGTAGTTACTACAACGCGCGGAATCAAATAAGACACGAGAGCAGTGAATGGAGAAAGTACGTCTCGATACGGCAGAAGAACAATGTAACAAGACATGGTAAAAATTTGATTTCACTAGGGTGTTCAGCAAGTACATATATAAACAATCTCCAATGTAAAAAGACACCAATCTTCAAAAATCACGCTTACGCTAACAACAGAAAGTAATTAGCTTCCACTTTAATAAATAGCTAAATAATACATGACCGTAAAAAAACACTCATCAATTTGATACTCGGAAGTTTGTTTAGCACTTTCTTGTTGCTGACGAGAACATCTTTAATTGACCCTATTTGATAAATCGTACAGAATTCGTTGCGTTTCGGCATATTGCGAACATCGTCTTCACTGAGTGTCACTTTGAAGGCCACTAAAAACAGTTGCATTTTGTAATTTCGAATCTAGCACATGATCATTTTCAGATTTAAAGGCACGGTCCGGGATTAGGCACGCTCAACTGTCCCATACCAGATCGTAGTAGACATGCAGATAATCGATGTTGCGCCCATTTTGCGGGTTGAAAGCGCTCGAAGCTCGCTCGATCCGCAATCCACACCTTCGCCGCAAGCCCCGCCTTCGCTGTCGGCTGCCACGTGACGCTGCGAGAAAAGCGCGGGCGCAGTTGCGGCAGCGGTTGCATTGCGTTCAAATTGGCACTGGAGCAACTAGAGCTAGGTTCGTGAAACTCGTCCAACACGCCCTTCTCTATCCCAAGGTGGAATGCGGCTGAAATAGAGGAGGTCCTATTCGGGCGTAATCGGGGTTTCTTTCGCTTTCTTGATCTTTTCCAGACACTTCTCACCTCCAGCTTCACTACTGAACGCTCTTACACACCCATTTTATCCCGGGGCTTGCCTTTA